TATATGAAGCCAAAATGAGGTTAAGAGTATGGATCATAAGAAATATTGACAGATAAACAGTAGGTATCAGTCTAGTTGGGTTGCATATAGATAATGTGCACTATGTACAGTATCGGATCTTTTTTATATAACATTTTATATTATAAATGAATTCTTGTGTGCATTGATTAAACTTTACCTAAAAAAACCCCACCTAAAAATCAAACCTCATGCTTCCTGTTTCCTGTTTCCTCAAGTCCTCAACCAACTATCATATAGAAATCCTGTATATGTGGCAGCAACCAAACATCAGTCTAACTCTTGTGAGAAAACCAATACGTCAGATCCTGAGAGCCAAGTGTATCACAACTTAGAGACTCAGTAGTTTGCTCTGTCACTTTTGTCCAGTGACTCCATGTTGTTCAGTCATCATAGACCCATGTTTATATCATCTATCAATGATATGTATTGCATCTCGAGCCTCTGCTATCCTGAACCTGACTGACACCTAAAATCTGCTTTCTTGGCTGCGCTGCGATTGTCTATTGTCAATTGTAGCTCCAGTAATCTGTGTTGAAACAATACCGACTATTGTTTGTATGCAAATGTACAGTAATTCCAGCCAAACCCAGTGGGAACAATGCTTCATATAGCCAGTGCTGCTGACCTATATAAATGGTTGTTTCTCTTGCTTAGACAAAGAACAGAGCCTCCTCCCTGCGCACATTATCCTCATTAATGTCAGCATATAATTGACTCGCAATGGGAACGGCTCATTGCATACGTTAACATTATGCAAACTCTATTAGCTGTGTAATGTTGCATGAATTCACCAAAGTGCCCGCATAGTCCCTCATTGTCCTGCGTGCCGTATCCACTTTTAGTGCCTACAGTGAGTGCATGGTTCTTCAAAGGAAGCAGGATGGCTAATTGGACTGCTAGCGGTTAGCAAATCCTCAGCTTCATTGGCACAAATAGCCTCATTACACCAGGAGAACATCAATGACCTTGAGGTTGCTGAAAAACACAATCACATTCAGAAATTAGTGGTATTTTTGCCCCTATTTATAGCTTTGTTTACCACGCTCAGTGGGAGAGCGGGGTCCCCAAAGCACCAAACAAGTCAATGGTTTGCGCTCAGATGAACAAGATGATAATGATGTTCAGATAATTTTAATGATGGGTACAGATGTTTTAGCCTTTTGGCTTTGATCAGTGTACTAATGAAGATTTCCTGTGTGTGATATTTCCATTTTCAAGTATTGCATAACTCATAAGGAGAACAGGGGATACATTTTTATCACTGTTGGCATATTTCTGTGATAAACAAGCACTTGAGAGCTGGTTAAGTGAAATGAGTCTTTTTCCGAATAATGATGCCATCCAAAAAGATACTTACAGGTAGTATATTACTTTACATACTGTAAATAAAATGAACACAGCAAACGGTTTGGGGGTATCTGAGAGAGCACAAAACAAATTCTGAACGCTACAGAATCCACTTTGGGGATGAAATAATGTGCACACTCGTTTCTGAGTCTGCACTCTAATGTTGGTCACAGGAGAACGCTACAGAAACTCAGTTTTTCTGTAACAAACCTGATATCTGCATCTGCATGCTCATGTTATGCCAAGCGAGTATTCCTTTTTTTTTGTCTGGGTTTTTTTGTCATGGAGTCCTGAAACTTCAGAACACAAAAAGTATTAATTAGTTTTTCAGTTTAGTTCATTTTTTAGTTTTAGCTGAGGACCTCAAACAGGCTCAAAAATTGAATTTCGGTGTCACAGCACACCACAAAAGCTGTTTGTCTACCTGAGGTTTGGTTTTATTTGTCAATGTTTCATGACAAAACCCTAAAAAAAAGTAGATGAATTGAAGTTGTGGTGATCAGAGCACTGAAATGTACATATCTGTATGTCTCAGTAATTCAGGATTATCCACAAATTTGCTTTGAAGAGTTTTTTAGTTCTTTAATCTTATGCTCGGGTTATCATTGTCACCTCACATCAAGAGGTTTCCTGGTTCGAATCCGCAGAGTCTGCATGCTCTCAGCGTGTCAGCGTGGGTTTTCTCTGGGTACTCCGGCTTCCTCCCACAGTCCAAAGACATGCAGGTTAATTGGTGACTCTAAATTGGCCGTAGGTGTGAATATGAGTGTGAATGGTTGTCTGTCCAGGGTGTACCCCACCTCTCGCCCAATGTCAGCTGGGATAGGCTCCAGCCCCCAAACAGGATAAGCAGTTATGGAAAAAGAGTGAATGAGTAATCTTATCCTGGCAATAAAAAGTCATATTATGTGCTGAATTATTAGAAAACTGGGAAAAACTGTGGCATTATATCTTGAAAAGTGTCTTTCAAAAGCTGTTTTTTGAATTCTCTTCTTTGAGCCCCACAAACAGATTTCCATCCACTTGTGCTGTTAAAGTGTGAGATCATAAAGTTTAACTGACAGTAAAGTTAGTTCAAGCAGAGGTAAAAAATAAATATGTTATTTTGTAGTTTAAACCAACTCTCTCGGATCAGTGTTTGCTACAGATGGATAGAGTTTGCATTAGACTTGGAGTGACAGTCTGCTCGCTCATCTTTATCTTCAGAGCCCCTGAGGTGAGTTTCTCCACAGATAAACTGGCTCAGTGACGAGTGTCACTTGCAGGCAGATTTATGCCTCTTAAATGTCGGGCATGTAACACTCGACCTCAGGCTCCCCTCACAGATTGTGATAGAGCTGAGTGACAACTGAAGAGTTCAGGGGAAAAAAAGAGATTTATATGCCTCCTTTAAAAAGGTGACACCTGCTGTTACAAAATGATCAACAGCACAGCGTTTAAACAAATTAGGTGCTCTCCAAGAAGTTTGTTCTTAAAGCTTAAACTCGTGATCATTTTGTTTTCATTTTTTTCTGTTTGCATAATTCTATTATATATAAAAACTGGTCTTCTTACTGGTAAATTATTCTTGCCATGAAAAAAACAACCATGGCTTTTCTCTTTTTTAAGCCTAATTGAAAAACATAAAACATTTTTTTTGTTCTGTTTTCACTTTAAAGTAAAGGAAGAAATTAGCTTCTGAAACTGTCACTAAAACAGAAATTTAAGTTATTTTCATAGAGATGTCCTCAGCTGGGAGATTACTACTGCACGAATGCCAGGTGGTACTCATGGGACAATAACACCATAAACTAATGGAAAACAATACAATGCAATCAAGATAAAATGAAATAAAGAAATACAACATGGAAAAAGCCTGATGTTGTCTTGCTCTCTGGCTTGTCCAAAAATAGAAAATTGATGACATGCCATACTCATACCCATAAACATGGGTAAAAAAAACACAGGTTAAAGACTGCAGGGTTACAAAACAGCCCATTCTCGAAAACCTGCAGTCATAAATGGATTTGTATGGTTGTTTATCAGTATATGAAACTGAATGTTCATACAGCATCTGTATGTTTGTCTGTGCATTAGCATGTGGTTTGATGTTATCCATACATACAGAGTGCAAGGAGGGCAGGAGTCAGGATACTGTACACTATCTACTCCACTTATGCAAATTTAATAAAGTGATGTTAATATTGCAAAGAATCCAGCTAACACTGTACCAAACACACATGAGTGCTGTAAACAGTCACAGCTTTATATAACAGAAACCCCTCTTTTTCTACAGAGAGAAAGGTCCTCTTTGAAAACACGGTGACTTAACAGCAGGGCGGTGGGAGCCGCCTCCATATATTCAGTAATGTTTTTAATTAAATGTGACATTAAATCTCCCGTGACATTAACTGTTTTTTTGCTGTGTGTTTTAAAGGGAGCAGCCCATCTTCAGCGCCAGAGCTCATGTCTTCCAGATCGACCCGGCCACCAAACGCAACTGGCTGCCAGCCAGCAAACATGCCGTCACCGTGTCCTTCTTCTACGATGCCAGCCGCAGCGTCTACCGCATCATTAGCGTGGGCGGAACAAAGGTGGGGGCCCTCCACACATATGTCTGTACAGATGCATGCATTAACACTTTGTCATAGGTTCACATCACACATATTGTTATCAGGTTGAGACACATAGTTCTACTAAGATTCTTTGAAGAGGGAAATGTTGGGGCGTTGGTAGCATGGAGGGTGGTGCCGGTGCCCCATGTGCAGAGGCGTTGCCTCGCTGCAGCGGTCACGGGTTCGAGTCCGGCCTGCAACCCTTTGCTGCGTGTCAGTCCCCACTCTCTCTCTCTCTCTCGCTCTCTGTCTCCCCATTTCACATACTGTCCATTAAAGACAAAGCCCACAAAAATAATCTTTAAAAAAAAAGAAGAGGGAAATTTTAAGACAGTGATTAATAAATCACAGCACTGACTGTATTCTACAAACTTATTGACACAGGCGGCATTATGTATTCAGGTTGTCCGTATGTCCCGTACAACACCTTGAGGGAATTTAGTCAAAATTGGCACAAACATCCACATGGACTCAACTATAAATCAGTTAGATTTAGGTGGTCATAGGTCAAAGCCAGGGAGTTCAAGTATCTCGGGGTCTTGTTCACGAGTGAGGGTAGGGCTTCTGCACTGATGAAGAGAGAGCTGAGCCAGAAGGCGAAGCTTTCGATTGACTGGTCCATCTACGTCCCAGCCCTCATCTATGGTCATGAGCTCTGGGTAGTGACCGAAAGAATGAGACTGCGAATACAAGCGGTGAAATGAGTGTCCTCTCTGGGGTGGCTGGGCTCATCCTTAGAGATAGGGTGAGGAGCTTGGACATCTTGAGGGAGCTTGGAGTAGAGCTGCTGCTCCTTCGTGTCGAAAGGGGTCAATTGAGGTGGTTCGGGCATCTGATCAGAATGCTTCCTGGGCACCTCTAGCTGGAGGGGATCCGGGCACGTCCCACTGGTAGGAGGCCCCGGGGCAGACCCAGAACACACTAGAGGGATTACATATCTCATCTGGCCAGGGAACGCCTAGCGTTGCTAGGGGGAGGGTCGTCTGGGGTGCTTTGCTGACAACGGTCAGGGTCACTGTGACCTAGTACATCTCATTGTTGTGAACGCAACAATTCATGAACACCTTAAGGGAATTCTTTCAAATTTAGCACAAACATCCATGTGGACTCAACAATTAATTGATTCGATTTTGGTGGTCAAAGGTCAAGATCACTATGACCTTGGATCTGTCTCATAGTGAATGTGATATCTTAATCCCTCAAATTTGGCACAAACGTCCACTTTGACCCAAAGATAAACTAATTAGAATTTGGTGGTCAAAGGTCAAGGTCACTGCGACCTCATAAAACATGTTTGTGGCTGCTAGTCAAGAATTTTTACGCTAATTATGACAAAATTTCACACAAATGTTTAATCGACTAAAATGACGAAGTGATGACATTTTATATTCAAAAGGTCAAAGGTCAACTTCACTGTGACATCATAATATTCTGCAAAAACATTTTCTGGCCATTATTTAAAGTTGTACAGAAGGGGAGACATTTGGTCAGATACTGAATTGCTGATACTAATCTTGGGTGTTGATCGTAAAACTGATTGTAGATCTTCTGTGTTGTCGGGTTGAAGATGTGTCTGAAGCGTCCATGTTTTAGAATATGAAGCTTCTTTGCAGCAACATCCATATTTGAAGCATTGTCAGCTGTCATGGCTTCATATGAGTCTGGACAGGCGTATGTATGCATGATGTAGACTAACTGCAACTTGACGGGTTCACAGAGATAGACAACTGCAAGATAGTAATTCTAGTTTTTATTGATTGTAGTATTTCTGCCAAAGAAAGCCAGCATGAGATGCAGCATGAAATATCAAATTAAGCTTTCACTGAGTCCATTATTTTTGAAGTAACATGCTGCAGCTTGTCGCACTCAGCAGTTAGTTAATAGCATTTTCCTCATATTATTATATTTCTTGTATTATTAGTGTATTAATGTAACAACTCATCATTTGTGCAGTATCATATCTCACTGGCTTGCTTTTTATTTAGCTTCCTCTGCACACCCTATCCTGAGATTCTTCAAATAAAGAGAAATAAATCTGTTTTCCATTTGGTTGTGGCTGTTACGGGTGAGGATGCATTAGTTGAAGCTGCACATTGTCAGCAGAATATTTATAACACACCCACAGCGGTAATACGGCATCCACAAGCACAGTAAAGTACCTGGGAGTTCCAACTCTGACAGCGTATCTCGTTAGCACCTAAATGAAAACTCTTTTGTAGTTATCACCCAGTTGTGCCAATGTAGCGCCCGGAGACTTGAGGCTTTTGGAGAGGAGACCAAAGAAATCTACATTTGGCAACAAATCCACCTCATCAGACTGTTCACTCAGGAGTATTTCTGAACAGATCATCGCACACCACAACAAGCTTTTTCACTTAGCTCTTTTTCTGGCCCGAGCTGTTGGATATCTTTATTTGCACGCACACCTCTACAGTCAACCTCCATAGGGTTTTTTTTTTTAATTGTTAGTTAAACAACTGCAGATTTGGACGACAATATAATCTAAGTGTTACAGTTGGATGATCCTAATGAAAACCACAGACCTCAAAGCAGTCACCAGCCTGTTTACTGTAATCAGCTGCTGCACAGTGAAGAGTTGGCTTCTCGATAAAAAGATGAAAATCAGCATATTTGCCAGTCAAGTACATGCATAAGAAAAAAATAACAATGAGCTGCAATGTATTTGGCATTTAAAGGTGACATACATTATGAATGTTCTTGTTGATTCTGGATATTCTGAATTCTTTCTCCTTAAAAATAACCTTTTTAAAAAAAACAAAACAAAAAAAAACAGGCTTTTTAAGCACATGATAAATGCATGCAATTACGTCCAACTCTTCACCAACTCGGTGAATATAATAAAAAAACAATATAAACCTGAGTTATCAGACAGATGTAGTGTAGTGTCACGATACCAAAATCTTTGTTTCGGTACCAATACCAATATGAATTTCGATACTTTTCGATACTCTTCGGTACTTTTCTTAAGGAAAAGTCCTTTTGGATACAAACCTTTAGAACAATAAATAGTAGGTGTGTAATGATACCAAAAAAATCATGGTTCGGTAAGTACCTCGGTACGGACATCACGGTTTGGTAACTCAAATGTTCCACCAAGTTTGTGCTGTCTCGTGTTGTCTCCCTTTGCGAGGCTGACTTTCTCTTGTCTTTTTTTATTTGCGCCAGCTGTTAATGTTGATACAGGTGTTGTCATACACACCACTTGTGCAATTTGTGCTCCAATAGGAACAAGGAAGGCGTTTGTGTGCATAAATGAATTAAATAAATTAATGAATTGAATCAATTTAAAAAGTACTGGTATTTTCCAAATGCAGTATAGTACCGTTTGGAATACTCTAATACCGCGGTACTATTTTAGTACCGGTATACCGTGTAACACTAGACAGATGTTTTCGATGTGGTATAGAGGAGGGCTTGTTTCTGATTTGCACCTGGTCATGTACAAAGCTCTATACATTTTGGCACAAATTGAGTGGAGTCATGACAAAACTTGTAGGATTTGCTTTCCCATTGGTACCACAAATTTGCCTACTGGGGAACTTTACAACCATTAGTGCTTCTTTACGGAACTTCCAAAAGAGGTTTTTGGAAATAGCTTTGATTCCCATCTTCCCATAGCCATGTGGTTTTTGGAAATGAACAGCTGCATTCCACTTGAAAAGATCACATATACTCTAAGAAACTAATACAACACCTTTTCAAAGATTTGGCAGCCCTACTTGACGTATACTGATACTTTACCAACATCTCTATTAGATTTGTTATAAAAAGGATACCAGATTGATAGACCAGTAGTCCTCTGATTAAGACTGGATTATGTTGTATTTATTACACGGCTCTATTAAATGCTGTATTCTGATTGGTCAGTCGCGGCATTCAGAGGTCTGATATTACTGTGTAATGACCCTTGCTATGTAGCCCAGCATTGCTAGGGACGCTGCTTTTCATTTTCTCTTGATTCCCTGTAGCTATTGTAGCGCAGTTTCAGCCGTTGCCGGCAGTTTTTTTTTCTCTCCTCCCGATTTAATTTATAAATCAATAAAAAATCGTATAATTAATCAATATTCTGTCTCAAATTATTTATTTAACTGATAATTAGCCGTGTAATAAGCGGGATAATGTATAATGAGCTGGTGAATACTGGGAAAACAACCCCCTTCAGGGGAATAGGACCCCCTGTCGGGAGTTTTTTTTTTTGTATTATATATATATTTTTTTTTTGATTACTACCCACCTCTTTTTGAGTTAGGTCCTCTTTTGGGTTGTATGTGGGGGGGCAGGGAGGTGATTTGGTTTCTGTATGATTTGTTAAATTCCCTCTCTGCAGTCATCTATGAACAGGCTTCTCTAAGACAGGCTTATAAGGTAGTTAGTGATGCAGCCCACGTATTACATGATGAGTATGTACTAATGCCTTCTGGTAGGAGGTACAGGTTACCCAGGTGTAATTTGAACAGATTTAAAAACTCCTTTGTCCCTGTGTCAATTAAACTGTTAAATGAGGCATTGAAATAGATCGAATGTACAAGATAGGATCACTATTGACGCACTGGTACTGTTGGGTCCCGCCCATGTCTTTTGTATATTTCAGTCACTGTTTTGTGTATGTGTTTTTTGTGGCTGCAGCAGGGGTGGAAGCCCAAGCCAAATTTTCCTTGTGGACAATAAAGTTTATCTTGACCTTGACCATGACCTTGACATTGGAAATTTGAAAAAAAAAAAAAAAAGTAAATAAAAAATACATCCAAGTGCAGTGCACCTGCAGAATTTGAGTCAGTGCAGCTTCATCCCAGCTTCTGTAGAAGTGGTTTTGTTTGATTGATTTGAAGTAATCACACAAACATTAAGACATAATGCAAAATAATGAATAATAAATGTGTTCCAGTGAACAAATGAGTTTGTCTTTATAGTAAATGTCTAAAATATAAATCATAAAAAGAAATACATTATTTCTGTATCTTAGATTTATGTTGGGGTTGATCCCGTATAGATTTTGGCTGAACACCTTCCAGTGTGCATATTCAACACAACATGTTTCACATCTCTCTCTGTTCTCGCTCTGCTTTTATATATATCCAGAATTTCTGTTTGAGATCATGTTATTTATCAAAAAACATACTTCTTCTTTCCCCTGTGGTGTCAGGCCATCATCAACAGCACCATCACCCCCAACATGACCTTCACCAAAACCTCCCAGAAGTTTGGCCAGTGGGCAGACAGCCGGGCCAACACCGTTTACGGCCTGGGCTTCTCCACAGAGCAACAGCTGCAGCAGGTTAACACCGCCCACACACACATACCGTACACACACACACACACACACACTTCGGCAACATTCAAACAAAATACTTGAAATAGTTTTATTTATTAGATATTACGCACAGAGGATGAGGGGTAGGAAGAGGGGCATTGGAGCAGGAGAGGACAATGATGTGATGATCAATGAGTCATTTTTCCACCATATTTAATTCATATTAACACAGCTTTTATTCTGTCAGTGTCTGATGCAGCTGGATTATATTTACACATAAACACAAAATGATCAATCTGTCACACACATTAAATTGATTTATTTTTGTTCATTAAATTAAAGGAATACCCCAAATCAAAATGCATATCTTTCCTCTTACCTGTAGTGCTTTTTATCAGTTTAGGTTGTTTTAGTGTGAGTTGTCGAGTGTTGGCCATATCGGCTGTAGAGATGTCTGCCTTCTCTCGTAATTAAATGGAACTAGATAGCTAGATGGGTTACTCAAGATAATCCACAGACCTTGTTGTGAGCAGATTCATGAAGGAACTATTTTCTTTCTACCGAACTACACCCGCCAAACATATTGTAGTCTTTCAATAAAAAAAAACGGGGAGAACTTTTCGGACGCGTGTTCTGGGAAACGATAATAAACCAATGTCCACTTTGAATGCAATGACCTATTTGTTTAAAACGTGCTCAGCTCTCACAGGTAAACATTGTGTGTTAATCTCAGGTAGGTTTCCACTTAACAGTTTCTGAGTCAACCACAGGTTAGTGTCCATTCAGTAGTTAAGTGTCATTCATCAGTTTTAGTCTCCATGCTACAAACTCTTCATGCTGCCACTCTTCACGGTCAAAATACTGTTTGCTTACCCCGTCACACACCTGCTGTTCATCACCTGCATCTTACCTATATTACCTGCATTTTCTTGCTCTAGTGCTCTACCCCATGTACGTTACAGCTCAGCCGAGGAGGACGGCAATAATGTTTACATCTTGCCATGTCACGACCATGATCTTCTCGTCCATGGGTAGATGTATGCTTCCATCTGCGTGGTGATATGGTTGGCTGGTGTTGTTTACTATAAGTAAAATAGTTCCTTCATGAAACTGCTCACAACGAGGTTTGTGGATTATTTTTCAAACCCAGTCATGATTTCTGGAAAGAGACATTGCTGTTTAGTTTTTCAAATGTATTTTTATTTATTTAGAATTTTGCTGGCACTTTGAGCACCGCAAGCTGAGTGGTATCTAGTTCAATTATATTAGAGAGAAGGCAGACATCTCTACAGCTGATATCTCCAACACTTGGCAACTCACACCAAACAATCTGCACTGATAAATAGCACCACAGGAAACAGGAAAACATGTATTGTTGATTTTGGAGTGAACTGTCCCTTTAAACTGCCATCAAAAGTGAGTGTAAAATATGCTTAGATTACTACATTGAAATTACAGTATAAAAAAGTGTCAAAGGTAGCTTTGGAAGCTTTAAGACAGTGATGATGTAGGTGTGGTGCGTTTTGAGTTTTCCAGTTATCTCTCAGCAGAGTGTAACCTCTGTCTTGTGTCTCCACCTGCAGTTTGCAGAGCAGTTTAAGGAGGTGAAGGAGGCGGCCCGCCTGGCCAGAGAGAAATCTCAGGAGAGGTTTGAACTGGCTAACCCTGCTCTCAACATTGCAGCTCCAGAGGTAAAGCACTGCTCTACTTTCTTAAAGCTTGTGTGTGTGTCTGCCCGCACAAATTTCCCTTCTTATTTTGGCTGATTAGGGGAAGAAACTCCAATTATAAAACGGAAAGGTGAAATCCTGCAGTCTGATTGGTTGTTAACTGTGATATAATGAGCGTATACCACAGCTACTATTCTAAAGCCTTATCACAGCATATCATTCCGCGTCAGGGAAGCAACAATGTATCCATGACAACAACCAACTGTTACAGCAGGTAGAAAAAGTAGCTGGTTTTTACGTTTATTTTTTGACAGCGTTAACAATTAACAATTAAGTTCACGATTAACTTTGATCTCCGGGGAGGGCTAACGATGGATGAATGGATTGAGGAGTGCCTGTCTCCGAAAAAAAAGCCGAGCAAAAGACGACATGCGGAGCTGACATCTGGAGAGGTTGACCAACTGGAGAAGGAGAGAAGTGAGGCCAATACAGTTAAACAGACCAAGTGGGCAGTGAAGTGCTTTGAAGACTGGTGCCAAGATAAAGGTGCTGCCTTAGACTTTCAGACAGTGTCTAAACAACAATTCAATGACATTTTAAGAGAATTTTATGGCACTGTCAGAAACTGCAAAGGTGAACTATACTGACTGAGCAGCTACATCGGTCTCCGCGTGGGACTCAACAGATACGTTAACGACCCCCCACTCAGCCTCTCCTGGTGCCTCCTCAAAGACACAGAGTTCACAACGTCTAATAATGTGTTCACTGGCGTTTTGAAAATGTTGAGGAAGAAAGGACTTGACACTACAGTACATCACACATCAATTACAGATGCTGACTTCAACGTCATAAAGCGGGTCCTGAATCCAAACACTCCAGTGGGCTTGGTTAATAAAGTTTGGTTTGATATGCAGCTGCACTTTGGGCGCAGAGGAAACGAAGGAAATCGTCGGCTCAAACCCTCGTCATTTATAATCAAAGCGGACGAAAACGGTTTGAAATATGCAATGCTGACTTTCAACGAACATACTAAAAACCACAACGACCCACAAGGAAGGAACAGAGAGACCACAAGGGGATTTATGTACGAACTGCCTGTGTCCTCATTGGCAAAGTACCTCTCCCTCCTGCCTCCTGACGCACCATCATTTTATCTACATCCAAGAAAAAATGTGAACTACGAGTTTGACAAAGTTTGGTAAGTGTATCATGCGTAGTGCATATTTAGATGAAAGGTAAATTTATATGACAGCTTAAATATGTGTGGTAACATTCAGGTTTACACGAGAGCCAATGGGCGTTAATCACTTCGCCACAATGTTGCCCCGACTCTGCAAGCAAGCTGGCACACAGCAGAGATACACCAACCACTGCCTCCGCAGCACCACCATACAAAAGCTGTCTGATGCAGGCCTCGACACCGGACAGATCATGACTGTGAGCGGTCACAAATGTGAAACGTCTCTACAGAGCTACTGGAGACCAAATCAGGAAGACCGCAGAAAGTGGAGCAACATCCTCGCCACACAAACACACACAAACACACACACACTACACAACTGCTCCACCTGAAAGTACAAGTGGTCTACCTGATGCTACACAGTTTTTTAGTGGATGCACAATCCACGGAAATATTGAAATTAATGTAAATAAAATCTAAGTCTAATGTTATGGAGTAAAAACTACAGAAATGAATGTAAATAAACTGTAAGTCTAATGGTATGGAGTAAAAGCTGTAATTTTTCATTTATTTATTTATTTATTTATTCGAAAAGGTTAAAATATTTATTTATTTATTTATAATAGGCTATGTATTTCTCATTGAATAAAAACTACATTAAATTGATTGTGTATTCCTCTTCAGTATTGTCATTATTGTCAGAGAAGCAACTATGCTTCCATGACAAAAACCAACTGTTACAGTGCATAGCAAAACTTAGCGGTGGTGTTTTGACGACATTAACAAATAGACTAAATTAGTTGAATTCACATGTTTAAGGTTAACTTTCACCTCCAGGGAGGGTTGACAACGGTAGAGTGGATTGAACAGTGACTTTCTCCTGAGAAAAAGCCGAGGAAAAGACGACATACAGAGCTAACGTCAGGAGAGGTGGGACTATTTTTTTCCACAGTGGGGCTATTTTTATTGGATAATATGTATTTCTGCATGAAATAGATTGTGTATTCCTTTTTCATATTTCCATTATTGGTAACCGTTTTATAAAAGCAATACATCACTTCAGGCCATGGTATACGCTCATTATACCACAGCTGAGGGGCGTTCGCGTCGGGCCGAAGAACGCCCCTCAGCTGTGGTATAATGAGCGTATACCACGGCCTGTCGTGATGTATTGCTTAAATAACCAAAGTTGTGCCGTCATAATAGATATGACAAAGGTCTAATCCACCAAAGCAACATTTACATAGTAATATATGCATTTTGCTATGGTGATCTGTTAGTAATTTAGATTATAACAATAAATCACCTCATGAAAGCTTTTCCATTTGCTAATATGAAACTTCCACCACAGGGAGGTGGAGGATTAGTCTGAGTAATCAGGACGTTGTTTCTAAAGAGACACATTACTGTTGAGTTTCTTAAATTGAGTTTTGAGATGCTTTAAGTGACACAAATAAGGTTCATTCACCTCTATTATACTGGGACGGTGGAAGTATTCTCAAATGGCAGAGATAAAAAAAACAAAATCAAAGCTATCTGCATTGAGGATAGTTTCATTACAATTTACTGAATTTGGGGTAATGAGGAGTCAGAAAAATAGGATTTTTTTTATCAGTGTGGTCATTATAAGGAGCAAAATGTCCACCAAGGGAGCTGCCACAGTTAGTTAGGGTTTAAAAACCGCTGGTCTCATTCTGTAAATAAAATCTGAGAAGCTTACAGTGCAAGTGTTTGCAGTTCAGACTTTAGAGGAAATGTATTTTTAAACATGTGGGAAAAGTCTGGACATTGCCTCTAGTAAGGACAACAGGTTCAGGACCTCAAAGAGACATGATGGTGTCTGTTACCCCCATGTCCGTATGACAGAGCGGCGCAGTAACATCTCAATGAACTCAGTGGCTTTGTTTCTATTTTAAACATATACAGAATCACGAGGGATTAAATGTATCCCCATCTGGCCGCTCCATTATTCTCCCATTGGTTAACTCCATTAAAAGATTTCATGCATGACAAATGGAGATGGGAGGCAGAAGGAGACGCTGGCGCTGAAGGTGTTTGGAGGGGCAGTAATGGCCGGGACTGAAAGAAAGAAGAATGAGGGATCAGGAGAATGGAGATGTGGTGTGGGGGGTGGGGGTGGGGGAAGGGTGGAGAGCTGAATCATCTATAATTGAAGGGAATCTGGCTGCTGCTGAAAGGACAATGGCCAGCTTTTATCCTGCCAGCATCAGTGATTTTTTTTTGGTGGACTTGATAACTCTTGAGGTTCAATTGAAAAGTGAAAGTTTGTCTGCAGTGGAAACTTTCTGTCCCTGAGCTTTTCCCCCTCCCAAAACAAGCCGCCCTGTCGTGACATTACAAGTAGATCACAAGACACACAGTTATATTTTTTTCTGGGGCAGTTCTTCTGACATTTGCAGCATCAAAAATAGCACACGCCCTGTTTTGGCGGCTGTGATTTCAACTGTACAAACACGGAGGAAACTAACTTTAGTGGGGCGTCACAGCTGCTCTGCTAGTCTTGTTTATTAGTTAGTTCTGCCAAGTATTAGCGTGTTGGATTGTTGTAGTGACATGGGTTCATAACAGACTAAAGTGTGTGTGTTTGTGTGTATTAGCACTATGTTGAAGTCCTAACAAAGAGCCACTCAGCAGGTCTGAGAGACTGCAGAGTCACACTGCCAGCCACGACCTCAGCTCCGAGACACTCAGATAAGAGCTGATGGTTTGTCTTGTCTGTTTATTCAGTGAGGACAGAGAGAAAACACCGCTGGGTACAACAAAACAGAGCATCAATACCAAGAAGGTCAACAGCACAAGAAGTGTGGTGCACAAATTGAACAATATTTCATCAAAGTAGCTGACATTTTATGGTGAAGTTGTATTAGATATTGTTTTCATCAGGGCCTGGGGACCAACTTTCTCTGAGTGTCGATGCTGAACTGAGCTGCACAGATGCAGCCGTGAGACTCGTAGGTCACAGGTCAACTGGCTCAGTAATTTTTTCTTAATCATCCTCCACCTGTTCACATAATGTAACATGTGTCTTCTGCATGAGGACCCACTATACGATATTATCACGATACTTAGGTCACGATACGATATTATTGTGATATGATGAGTATTGCGATTTATTGCTTCTTTTTTTTTTAAAAAAAAAATGCAAATTATTTCCCCAAAGGAAAACTTACATCATTTTACCTCATCAGATAAAGTTTTCAGTGTGTTCATCTGACTTTAATTATTTTTATTGCAGCAAAATGTGATGCAAAGCAGACAGACTGACCAACTCTGTCACAAATACTACATACACCAGAAATGTTCAACTGTTGGAAGATTTAACGCCCTCTGAGAGGCCAGATTAAACATGTGAGCAAAACACTTCACATGCAGGTATCCTGCTAAATGAATGGCAACACCCATGTTAGAGGTGTCATCTGTTACAACCCCAATCGCCCATTCTTGTGCTGTATTTTGCAGGATGTTTGCTCCAGTGTGACTTTCATGTACTGCTCTTGTTTGGAGAACGTGAGACAGCAGTCACCAGTTCTCTGTGAGATGATGTGCTGTTATAGTCACAAATGAATCCACTGACCTTGAAGTCCAGGTGTCACAAGTTAATGCCACCATTCCTGCTGTACTCAAAAATTCCTCAGCTTTGTGCTTCACTTCGGAGTCACATACCTGGGTTCCAGGGGTTTTAGCATGTAACAAAAGCCTTTGTTTTCATCAACGCTGTATGGATGCAGATCTTTGCACATGAAGTAGGTGATGGACTGAGTTTTTTTCTTCGCTCTCTCAGAGTTGGATGGTAGTTTTGTCAAGCGAAGTGTTTTCAGTG